ACCATTCAGCGGTTACAAACATATGTGCGCAGTTTACCCTGACGACGCCCATGAGGATTGTTTGTGCAAAAGATATCAATGACCTATGTTGTTACGGCTCAAAAAGATGTACCTCAGTACTATACCTGTTTATAAGTTCTTAAGGATTTGAATGCAGCCGAAGGAGCAACTTTTTCTCCACTTTGTTCAGAGAAACTTAGTTTATTGACAATACACACAACTTTATGTAAAGTAAACAGAGTGCATGATAAAATTCGGAGGAAGAAGAGTGTATCATTAACTTCACACCTTTGGGAACGGGGCGGATACCTGCCACACTATTCAATTAGTACGCACCACGTAATGTGCCTCTTAAATCGCCACATCTGGTGTTCGTGGGTGATCATAAACCGCTATAGAAATAATACTCCTGCTAGTGCTGCGAAAGTAGCCATATTTAGCTGTGAGCTGCTGTGACTGTCAAGTGGGGGGGAGTGCAGTTTCCAAGAATATTTTCTTGTGTCGTTCGTCGTTTGATAGCCGTGCAATGCAGGCAATGGAGATGGTGACAAGGGGCTACCGACTTCAACCGCCTCCTGGTTGTCCTCGACGCATTTAGTCAATGATGATAAGCTGCTGGTAATAGTAGAAAATTCCTGCTTACTTTTGCATTCAGACCTCAGTGTTGCTGTAAACTTTTGTATGGAGTTATCCAATTTAGCTCTTCCTTCCTGGGAGACTCGGAGACTCAGAGACTTGGGTTCTATATATTTCTCTCTGTGTTGCAGGCATCCAGAGAGGCTTGATCGTCCATCATTTCCCTCTGTTTGCAGCTCTGGCAGAGGAGGCCAACTCACTGCTGCAGTGGAGAGAGGAGGACAGCCTGTGCCATCCTCACGCCAGTCTCCTCGGAGCTCCTCTAGAGACTGGGGCTTCCCTCTACCCTGACCTCCAGAACGCTTACCAAGGGCAGACAATGAACTATAACATGAACCATTCAGAGGTTTTTTTTGCGTGATTCTCATATCCAAGCAGTAACCAGAAGGACTTCCATGTTTTGAAGTTACTCCATGGGAGTGAGTGTGCAAGGAACAATAAAGCCCCGTGCATCGTCTATTTACGCGACGGCGGGTAGCCGATCGGGACATGACGCTGTTGTATAAAACTGCTATGGTGGCACCATAGATAATAAAGGGTGGCACCCTAAACAGTGCGGGCTGACGTCGGTTGTAATGCGGAAAAGATGGGCCGATTTCAACCCACTGCAACTATATAGCGGCGGCGCGGCACGACGACCGGGTTTGGCTAGTTACGATGTAGAGTAAGCCACCGATAATCTGACGCCATGTATTCTCGGACGCATTTGTTAAGTCTGTGCAGGACTAGATTGGCTACTGTGTATACCAAAGTGTAGTTCTTGGTCATATCCGAGCTTTACCGTGGGAATGACGTTGCCGTAAAGTTACGATTCGGGCACAGCAAAGTTCGGACAAGGCCATCAAAGGTAGGACAGTCTCCCAAAACGGGAACAGTATGAATGATCCAAGCGAGTGTATGCTCGATTGATAGCTGTACCTTTTGGCTATGCAGCGACCCACAAATGGCCCTTTTTTGTCTTCGCTATTTTTGCTCACGAAAGCGCAAATAGGCGGGGTCGCGTAAGCCGCGTTTTACGCGAAAAGCAGTTTTCGGCTTGTTTCTTCTAACACACGCGCCGGATGAAGCTATAAAATTTTCTCCTCGTTCTTCTTGCCTTATATTAGATGCCTGCAGCACGATTTCCGTTTTTGTGAGATCTAACTTTTTATTGGTAATTACAAAAAAATAATTATTGATAATTACAAAAAATTAAAATCTTACAACAACGGAAATCGTGGTGCAGGCATCTAATATAAGGCAAGAAGAACGAGGAGAAAATTTTATAGCTTCATCCGGCGCGTGTGTTAGAAGAAACAAGCCGAAAACTGCTTTTCGCGTAAAACGCAGTTTACGCGACCCCGCCTATTTGTGCTTTCGTGAGCAAAAATGGCGAAGACAAAAAAGGGCCATTTGTGGGTCGCTGCATAGCCAAAAGGTACAGCTATCAATCGAGCATACACTCGCTTGGATCATTCATACTGTTCCCGTTTTGGGAGACTGTCCTACCTTTGATGGCCTTGTCCGAACTTTGCTGTGCCCGAATCGTAACTTTACGGCAACGTCATTCCCACGGTAAAGCTCGGATAAGAGCGAATATTTTTATACAACAGTTTATGACCAAGAACTACACTTTGGTATACACAGTAGCCAATCTAGTCCTGCACAGACTTCACAAATGCGTCCGAGAATACATGGCGTCCGATCATCGGTGGCTTACTCTAACTAGGCCTCGCTCTGGGAGTCTCTGCAAGTATGGAATACCTCAAAATAATGCAAGACGTTGTCCGCTCCTGCGTGCTGCAGACTCAGGCTATCGAGAAAGGACCTCACAGGATAAGGTCGTTGAGATCTTGCACAAGGCTGCCAATCTCCCAGAGGGGAAGAAAGTGAACGGGTTGGTGCAAAATATCCTTGCTGAAGTGGTAGCTAGCTATGTAACTATAGTCAAAGTGAGAACATTGCCAAGTGGTGGTATCAAGAGGCCGAAATTTCAAGCAATGGAGTCCTCCATTGCTTCATCATTAGGTCTTTAGGAAGGCAGATTGGTTAACAGGACTCGACGCGCATGGTTCGCTTGCTCTGTGCATCTTGAAGGCACAAGAAATCACAAAGGAGGGCGAGTATCCACTCACGCATGCTACATATCTACTGGTGTAGCTATATAGCCCGTATTCAGACTCGCCGCGAGTTACTAGCGACCACAAGTGACGCATATGTACTCAGAGTCCAGCCAATCAATTAGCAATACTGCGCATGCGTTGTGCGCCGAGGGTTTGCACTTTAGTGCTTTTCAGTTTTGGTGAAGAGAGAGAGACAGGAAAAACTTTGAGGATGTAAGGTAAAACTTTTTCCATAAAGCAATGTTGAAGTATCTGTGTATGGCTGGTGATGCTGGGTGTCTAGACAAGTTTAGGTCAGGTATATAATATAACTGAGTGAGGAGGTTAACAGCGAAAGGAGAAAGGGATGAATGTGCGTGCTTACATATTTTGAGTTAAAACGTGTAGCTATTGTGTGCACAATATGATTTTCAACATAATTAATACATGTGATTCTTACAGACAGTAATCACTGCGGAAATACATACTTGGCTTGCCTTTCACAAGCAAAAAAATACAGCTCTTTCTAGTTTTCTTTTAGTTACAGTCATCAAAAGAGTTAACGAATTTCAATATAGCCTCTTGTTTTTCTGGATCAAGCACAATGATTCTGCCATATTCTGGTGTTGCTGCCAGAAATATCTCAAACCTTCCACGGTCTTCTCTTGTCACATTTCTTTGACTGATGTCAAAGCAGAATTCACTCTGGCACATTTCAAACTGAAGTTTTAAGGCTGTTTCTCCCACTTTCTCAATGCCTTCACCAGCACTAAGCTCTTGGGCTGAGTCCACTTCAAAAACAGCTGTAAAAATATGAAAGGGGCACAAAGGCTAGCAGACAAAGAACCTCTTTCTGTAAGAGGTTTTGCACAGTGTAATAACCAGTTGTACCCCCATGGTAAAGGCATGATAACACTGTCCTTCAATGGCTCGCAAAGTATATCAAGCTCTTACATACAGCTTGTTGAAGCAGCTCATTAACCCTCAGCATGCATGCCCAGTACTGTTTGTTTAACGGGTAGTTTTAAGGATAGCTTACCTTCTGTGAAGTTGAAGAAAATGTCAACGGGGAAACCAATGGGGCAGTTGGTTTGACTTCCCGATGAGTTCGACATGTAGACACAGACTTCCACTTTCTCGGCTGTAGAACTGAAAGTGTAATCTGTCCGCTGGAGGCCTATAGTAACATCTACAGACAGAACAAAATGGCATTCTCATGTAGGGAATAGCACAAAGAGCAGCACCTTAAGAAAACATGCTGTTCACAAATACCCTGCAAGTTAAGCATGTGCTACTCACAGTCATCATCCTCGATGGTAACTTGAGCATTAGTTCGATTTAAACTCAATCTGCTGTCCCAATTGTTTCCTGTAGTTAGTGACACAAACATATTCTCATCCCCTTCTACAAGTCCGTCATTAATAGTTTCTAGTTCGATACAGACTTGAGATATACAAGGTGAGAAACGCCTCTCAGCCTGAGTTAGAGCAGTGTAGTCTTCAGGTGAATCAGCTGAGAATAAGAAGTGAGACAGATCCCAGCACACAAAAAGGGTTGTGTATTACTGCAAGAAGTCACAAAGGTTTACCTCTTCCATCACTGGTGGTGAATACACAAAGAATGGTAATGCACAATGCATTCACCATTTTCACCAAACACCTTTGCACACACTATCTCTGTTAGTGTACCACCTTCCTCTACCCTGTAGTTAGTTTGAGTTAGACCCACCTCCACCGCTGCAGATACAACCAGTGTGACTCAGTCAGGTGACGGTACAGAAAACCACGCTTTGCTATCTAACTTACTGTCATCATCTCGGATGGTAACGGTGGTAAAACTCTGGGGGCCAATGTGGATGTTATTATGAAGGCCATTCCTGAAAAGGCTGATATCAAAGCTCTCTTCTTCTTCCAGCTGGTCGGAGTCCACAATACCAACAGAGAAACATTGTCTTTGTTGACATGCTTCAATTTGTAGTGTACCATTCGCATCTTCATCTACGTAGTCATATCTTCTACCTAAAGAAAGTTGCATGAAAATTACCTAACTCACTATACCTGCCAGTAAAATCTTACCTGCTGAATATTCTTCATTTCCGAACACTAATGAGAAGTCATGGGCCACAGGACAGTTATAATTTTGACTGGTGACAGCCACACAAACTTCCACTTGCCCAGCATTCTCATTTACTGTGTATGTCAAACTTTCAAACTCCACTGTGGCATCTAGAGATTAAAAACCAACATCATCTACCCCTAAATCTATATAGAAGCTATATAACTGATGACAAAATCACATAGTTCACATCAAGAGCTTAAACTTTTTGGTTACCATCATTGTCAATGATGATTATATCAGCCTTGTTACAAGTCAATAGTACTCTGTCTGGAGTATTTTCTGCTCTCTCCAGAGCCACAGTGAAGAATTCCTCAGGAAACTCAGTCAGTGTATCATCCGAGATGCTGATCGTGATACACTGCTTGGTGACAGTGGAAGAGAACCTCAAGTAAGTACTTATCGGTGTAAAATCCTCTTGTAATCCTGAATAAAAAGCAAAAGGGCCACCTAAGTGTACTCTAGATGAATCCCTAAGCATTTTTGGCGAGCAGGAGCGACCCAACTACAGATATACAGCTGAGCATGCACAGGGAGGATTATAGCTTTGTTGCATGGATCTCTGGTGCTGGAGGCGTGCTACTCATGCATGTGACGCCGCAAGCTGTGAGAAGGGTGTGTTATCCACTCTTCAGCTGGTAAACGCTGCCTCCTGCGAGCTATGTCTCGTGCTCCTTGGCTGTTGCTAAAGCGAGAGGCTACCTCCTGCGAGCTCTGCTGTGGTGGAGGTGTGCTGCGTCATGTTGGCATCCATGACGATACTCGTGATCTGCGCACATGTTGCATTGCGGCTGTCAAATGTTAAAAATATTGCGGTATGTGTGGCATCGCCAGATAGAAAAAATGGAAGATTGGTCCGTGCAAACGACTAGGTCGGCTTGCTCCTGCTCGCCAATATTAAATAGAAATACCTGCACTGTTAGAAAGTGTCCGTATATGCACACGAAAAGGCATTGCTGGTTTGTAGTTGGGTGGATGAAGAGTAGCACACACTTCTACCAGGCTATCATTTTCTTCAACTCTATACACTGTATGCTCAAGTTTAACTTCCAAAGCTGTGAAAAAGAATATTAAACAATGTATGGCTAAAACGTGACAGAATCATACCGTCAGAGTCAGTAATGTTCACTATGAGGTCCCTATCATCAATAATGATCCTGGCTGAGATATGCTCTCCTTGTAAGATAGCTCTGAAACTTTCATCAGGCTCCATATCACAGCTATAGAATATTGGAATGTCTGTACACTGCTCAGTACCACAGCGTGGGAATGTCACTGTAATTGGTGATTTTTCATAGTCCCCAGCATCTATGAAAAGATGTATTCAAGCCAATGTAAGTCTCAGTCCACATTCAATGAGACATCTGGCATTTGACTTGGGTAGATGTGCCCCCCGTGTGATTTATGTGCTGTACAAATTTGACAATCTCTGACACTACCATCTATAATGTATTATTATTATAGCATGCTTTAGCTATACCCAACATGCTTGGATATGTATACCTACAAACTCAGAAGTAACATGTGTGCTTTTATATATCTGGTTGTAACAAGATTGTTTGGGAGACAACCCATGTAGCACTAAACGCCAACATTAGGCATGCTGTCTCTTTATAGAGAGTCAATTACTGGTACTTGCAACTATTATAAAACCAAGCTTCAAGCATTACAAATAAGGTAGTGGTCTTCTATGCCTTATCTCCGAACTAAACCAACGGCAGGGGTAGATACAGCAAATTATTAGGGAAGTTGATGCGCTCGAAATGCACCCTTGGGCATGCTCCCCAGGAACATTAAAGGTCTTGAAGATATTTTCTGAGCACTATAATTATGGCACTTGCTAATATTCTAGCTAACGAGGTTTCACTGAGCGTTCAAAATAGAGAGTAGCAGTCCACAGTTAGCAATGCACGCACCTCGCAAGGTGCTGCAAAAGAACAGCCCTCAGGGTTGGAGTGACGCCATGTAAATGGGGAAGTTGTGGTTTTGTGCGCATACTTTGAGAACACCCTTTCACATACACATGTGGCACTGGTAGCTATGAACTTGTGCCTATGACTGGGATCTAGGCTAGAAAGATTTTGATAGTGTTGCAACCCCAAACCCCCTATATATCCACTCCTGCACAGCTATTGACGAGCTGAAACAAGTACTGTAACCCTCGCCGCGCATACGTGCCGAGGGTTAATAAATTTGTTAAAAACCTGCTGTGATATCCATTTTAATGATAGACACGGTGAAGCTGTAGTCCACTGGACAGCCACCTCCACCAGATGCTGGCCTCACAGTTACACATAACTGTGCCACTTCATCAGTCTCTGCTACTACATGCGAGTGACTTCTGAATGATACAATGGCCGCTGCGATAGAAAGAACAAGGGGAGTTGCATGGTTTTTGAGTCATCTCAAGTGAGGTTGGTTAGAAAGTGCAAAATAAAAACTCACTATCAATGTCAAATATTGCATATTGTTTTTCAGGGTTAGAGATATTAATTCTACTATCCAAATCTATATTGGCACCATGGCTCAAAAGTACAGAGAAATATTCAATATTTTCCAATGTGTTATCGTCAATCGTTGAAATTTCCATACAGATTCTCGTTGCACACTCTGGTATTATCTGTATATTAACTGTCCTCTCATAGTCGGAGCCAGCCACTATTGAGAAGACAGAGTTAATGGGATCATGCACAACACGCACAAGACTTACAAGCAGTGCCATCAAAAGTTTGCAAGATAACTCTTAGTGGAACAGAAGAAGGGCAGGCGCTGGTAGGTGCACCCTCAATAATAAGACAGACTTCCAGTGCATAACTTTCAACTACTACTCCGGGGTCATCAAAATCAATTGTGATACCTGCAGCATACACCTTCAGAGAGTACAGAAAAACATGTGAAACAGTCTTACTGTCAGTGTCGAAGATTGTCACGACTTTCTCCACAACATCTAGCAGAATTCTGTCATTCCCTGGGAGACGTAACAGGGAGAGAGAGAAGGGTTCCTGACGCTCGAGAGACATGTCATCAAAGACTGTTATGTATGTACACTCTCTCCTACTGCACTCTCCAAAGGTGATATTAGTGGTGAAGGCATCATGGTCTTCTGATGTTGCTACACCTGTGGAAATAAATACCAATTATGAAGGCGTGCTGGTGGAGGAATTCTTACCAAATACTGCAAGAATGAGGTAAAATGGAAAGTCTACTGAACAGTTTTCTTTCATAGACTTGAGCACCACGCACACTCTGAATGTCAGATCTTCAACCACACTGACCGATGCCTTCTCTAGACCAAATGTCGCATCTGAGAGACAAAATTTCATAGCTGTTAGCATAACGTTAATTAATAATAATACTGTCATCATCTCTGATTGTGATCCTTGCAGGTATGTTGACTGGAATTACGTTTGCTGGTTGACCCACAGATCGTGCCACTGTGACAGTGAAGTCCTCGTTCAGTTCTTCAACCGTCTCATCCTCAATGATTGTCACCATAACAGGTTTGATTAGCTCTCCAGAAAACACAACCATGGGAAATATTTGTCGATAGTCTCTGTCACGTTCTAAAGGGGTATAAAATGTTTTGTAATGAAAAGCACTAAAGTGCAAACCCTCGGCGAACTGCGCATGCACGGTACCACTAATTGATGGGCTGGGCTTTTAGTATGTGTTTACTCGTGGTCTCCAGGCTAAGAGCTTGCGGAGAGTCTGACACGGACTAGCTACAGTAGTAGATAGCATGTGGGAGTCGATACACGCCCTTCGTTGTGACTTTTTGTGCCTCCAAGGTACACAGAGCAAGCAGACCCGGTCGAGGTAAGCCTGTGCTAATTTGCATATTGGCTTGTTCACTTGGTTTTCATGGCATCACTTTAGAATGTATTATTATTAATATTGTTATTATTATTTATGCGCACCGAGGGTTACTTATTACAATGATCACAGTACAATTTTTTCTGTACCGGCAGTTCCTTGTCTGGTAAGCACAGTCACACTAAATTCAAATTCACAGGAGCACGTCATCAGGCCATCCTCATCAGTCATTGCCAAGAACAACAACACTGAACCGCCGCCTTCATTTACGACCACATCAGTATTATTAATGAAACGTACATAAGCCACTGTTGGAGAGAGAGTGAATATTCTTAGTAGAAATTGGACTAAACGGCTTTAACATACTCACCGTCATTATCAACGATTGCAACTCTTCCCTCAGCTGGTTCCAGGTGTATTCTGTCCAATGGTCCTTCTCCCACTACCATATTCAGCAATATTATGAACTCTTCAAGTTCTTCCACAATACAGCCATCTGGCACAGTACTTATTGAGATGCATCTTCTCATCTCACATGTGCTAAAGGTCAGGTTACTTCTGAATTCCTCATAGTCATCTGCAAATACTAAAGAGGGGAGAGAGAGCACATGTGTTCCTCTAAGTTTTACCACTTTCTCCTTTCCCTCAGTTTGATTAATATGAAAGTGCCTAAGTCCCAATCACTAGCTGTGTTTAAATGATTCCCACACCTTGCTGAGAAATGTCTGTACACTATCCACAGCATGCATGCACACCGAGAGAGTTACGTATCTGTCGGTGTTCCATTTTCACAGGCTAATTGCTGGAGTGAACTCTCGAACATATACCATGCTGTCCTGGGCCTTGGCTATGAGATGGCCGTCGATTCCCACTGTCCGCCAGCAATCCTTCGAAGTAGCTGCTCATTGAGGTATTGCTATACGTACTTCTTGTCATTCCATGTGACCACTGAAACTTCTGAGCTGCTGAGTGTGGTTGATGTAATGCTTATTTGCATAATGCTGTTCATGCCCTAACACTTGAATTGCTCATTTTTTTTTCTTAAACTATCCGTAAGTCAAAAACTTTGTTCTTGGTACGGCTAATACCTGCAGTGTCATCAGCAGTAGAAACTATGAGAGAGAACTCGAACTTGATAGGACAGTCCATATTAGCAGGATTTTTCACTGTGGCACATATTTCAACTGCTTCCCCTTCCAAACCTATGTACCGTACACTCTCCAAACCTACTGTTGAATCTGAAGGGACACCAGGGATATAAGAACACCAATAATATATGTCAGTCTATACTGCACCATACTCACTATCACTAGGGTCATCATAGATCGTTAGACTTCCAGATGAATTAATCAGGATCCTACTGTCAAGAGATTCACTCCGCTCCAATCGAATCAGTAGAGTTTCTGTCATCTCAACTTGATAGTCATTTTTTATTGGCACATGAACACATTGTTGTCGCTGACATGGCCAAAGTACCATTGGGTAGTTATCTGAGAATAAGTGAAATCATGGAAATACTGAGCAAGAAATTGCAATGGGATACTTACCACCTCCAACAGAGAGATTCAATGTACATTCAAAGGTAATTGGACAGTCTCCATTAGCTGGTCTGGATACCACTGCACATATGCTCACTGAGTCATTCACAACCTCTGTCACAGTATAAGCTGTTGTCTGCAACTGTACCTCAGCCACTGCATACAGATACTGGCAGTAATTACTTAGGAATGCAGGGAGAAATACTAGAAGAACAGTACAAAAAATGAGAGGTCATGCACACTTTCTCCATCATCGTGGATGTTGACAATGGCGTGACTGGGATGAGGTGTAACCAGCTCAGGATTATCACTCAGGAGAATCAAGTCAAAGAGCTCCTCCTGCTCCAGTTGCTGGTCATTAACAATGGTAATTGGAGGAGCACACCATCTTTTGCTGCATGGAGTAAACTCTATTGCTGTATAAAACTCAGCAACAAAATCCTCGGGATTTACTGGAGATAGAGAAAGACTAGTAACACTTCAATGCAGACCCCAATTACTATTTGCTTACTGGCGGTATATCCAAGAATAAAAAAACTCAGGGAAAATGAAGTTTTAACTGGGCAGGATACATTTGGGGAAGTAACCTCCACACAAACTGTGAGATTACGACTAGTTTCCTGGACATCATAGACAGCTTTGTCAAAACTGACAATGAGCACTGTAGGAAAAAGGGGGCATATAATATGTAATAGGGTGTATTGTGTATATATACCATCTTTATCCATAATGGTAACTGTAGCTACATTTGGAGTGATATTGATATTGTCGCTGAAGCCTAGCTGCAGTGTGACTGAGAACATCTCTGTGTCTTCCATTAGGTCATTATTAATTATATCCACTGGCAAAAAGCAAATCCTTGTTTGACACTTTCCAAACATATAAAATCCATCTACGAGCCTATAATCACTTCCCGGAACTATGGATGGAGAGAGATGAATCAGATGATGACACACACCCTAGCTTCAGGTAGTACACATACATGCAGTGTCCGGATTTGCTTCAAATACCACCTCAAAAGGGAAGGCGATGGGGCAGTCAGTTGTAGGTGAGTATACTGTCACACAAATTTCAACTTCCTCATCATCCTCGTACACACTATACACCAGTCTCTCCAGTCCCACCACAGCCTCTGCACAGACAAAGTTGTGACACCTTGCATGGGTAGAGAATATAGCAATACCGACGAAAATCAAATATCTTTAACCTTGACCAATCTACAGAGTACTAAAATGTGTTGTAATGTTATTCGTTGACGAAATAGCATGTTGTTGCCATGTTCTACAGTCACTACGGAATTGCGTCTAGGAACCGTTTTGTCTTGCACTGGGAATAACTTCACCAGTGGATGTAGAATATATTATGTGACATTGGATGTTTGGAGCACTATTCCTGTGCAGTTACAGTAGTCTACACTAAGTGTGGAGTTTTTCACTGTGGATGATTTTCTGGGCCATAATAATGCCAGTCAAACATATGACATATCACCATGATCCTGAATTTATCCTATAAAATGGCTGGAGAAGTGACAAGTTGTTCTTAATATTTTAGGCATGGCATTTCTACAAATCAACTAGCTAGTTAGCTAGGTCTAAACTTCTGCAACAGTGCCATACTATAGGTAGGCAACTTTTAGCCAAGTAGAGATCTGGCGCTTCCTCACCATTACTGCACAAGAGCTGTGTTTAGAGCTCTGTGTATTTTAAGCACAGAAGTTTAAGGTCTCTGGGTGTTTAAGCTGACCGAGATTTGTAACAAATATATACTGCACCCACGTTAACATACGAACGCCTGCAATGCCTGCCCATATATAAAGAAAAATGCAGCATTCAGATGACTAGGTGGGCTCACTTTGATCACCAATTACTCAAAACTACTTCTGCAACTTTCGTGGCTGCACAGTGCACACCTGTGCAAACTCCATAGGTTATATTGGCAGTAATTAATTGAAATTGCAGTGTAAAACGCTGTCTATTTTAAGTAAGAAAACATGTTTTTCAAGTGAGGTATAAACCAAACAAAACTTTATTGAATAACTTCCTGCACATGCAAAAGTGCCAGAAGCATGCTTTCTGCACATTAAGAAATGTGCAGAAAGAATTTTAAAATGTGTAGGAAGAATTGCTAAAAGTGTAGAGGAAGAATTTCAAAAATTGCAGGAAGAGCAATGGAAAAGTGTAGGAAATATTCCAGAATATTCCTGCAAAATCCCCGTATTTTGACATGTGCAGGAAGATTCCTCATATAATTAATATTATTCCTGCACATAAGCAATTTGTGGCAAAAATTTCATATAAGACAAAGTTTTGTGTCACGAAATCTGCCGATCAGCATTTTTCATTGATCTTAGCTGTAGCATGTTCATAACCTGTTTTTCTTATGGCTCTCAAAACCTAGTCTTATGGTTGAAGAAGTGACGAGTTTCAGAGCGTCGGTAGACGCTCTATGTAGGGATGGCAATCATAATATTCTTCATCTTCTTCTTCTTCAGACCCGCTTTCTCCTTAGTGGAACTAGTTGATGCGCTGAATTTTTCACTAAACGTGTCCTGCGATGCTGGAGGTGTGCATCGTCGTAAAGCGATGCTTGTTTTCTTGCCGCCTATAGCTACGGAAGATTACCGGCGGACAATACAGCTCACAGAAGACTACGCCATTTTCACAGATGGCGATCGGTCCAGACCCCACCCACGCGTGCCATATGAGCGCTCCCGTGCGCGACGCAAGAAAAAAGGTGCGCGGTCGCAGATGCACTCGCTCTCTCGTCATCCGTTGAGCTCTGGTTTTGTGCCAGTGACTACTTTTGTCCGGGTCTCCCGTTTCTGCCAAGTCTGGTTACGACTGGTTTATTTTCTCTGTCTCTGTTGAACTATCTTTCCTTGGTGTTCTACGACACTACGTCTCAGTCTCTTTCACTGCGCTGTTTTTGTACACAGGTGTTGTTATTACGAAACATATTGCGTATAATATCCTGTATTCTACCTCTGAGGTGCATGCCTTACATCGACACCCCGTCCGGTGTATTTGTACTGGCCCCTGCTGCAAAGTTCTATTTCTGGAGTTGGGGCCGCCACAGCTACTCATTTTGTTTTCAATGTAAGCTCTGCAAGTTGTCAATGGATATTGTCGGTAATTTGCCTATTTGTATACCAAAGCTGTTCATTTGGAGGTGCTAGTACACGACACTCCTTATTGTGCAGTCCCTGATAAGAAAAAGGCAGCCTCATATTGTGCTGATCCTGGTAAGAAAAAGGCAGCGGTTAGGCCTCGTATGCTGCAGATCCTGATAAGAAAAGGCAGCTTCTAGGGCCGTGTATAAGTTGCATCCATTTAAGAAAAATATTGCTGATAGGGCTGCGTATAGAGATAACTGATAAAAGAAAGGCTGCTGCAAAATCTGGCTTTGATGTAAATCCTGAACAAAAGCGTGCAGCTACCAAGGCAGCTTATAAAGCCAACCCTGAAAAAATGAAGGCATTGTTTCGGGAGTATCATGCCTCACACAGTAGTGCCAGGCTGGCACTCTTTCGGGAGTATCATGCCTTACACCGTAGTGACAGGCTGGCACTCTTTCGGGAGTATCATGCCTCACACCGTAGTGCCAGGCTGGCACCCTTCGGGACTATCATGCCTCACACCGTAGTGCCAGGCTGCCAGTGTTTCGAGAGTATTATGCCTCACACCGTAGTGCCAGGCTGGCACTCTTTCGGGAGTATCATGCCTCACACCGTAGTGACATGCTGGCAACATTTCGGGAGTATCATGCGTCCCATCGCAGTGCCGGGCTAAGGTATTTCAGAAAATATCACACTCATACCAAACTAAAGAGAGTGGCAAAGGCTAGATACAGTTTGGTGCAGCCTAACCAACTGACAACTGAAAAGTGTTATAGGAGTGCTAACGCCAACCTGCTAGCTGAAGGTGAAGTGTTTAACACACTCAAGGAAGGGTTCAAGTCCCTGCATGCTGGTGTAGCAGATACACTGAGTAGAGCAGAGTTGAACAGACAGTGGGTAGACTGGCAGTTAAAAGACTGGCTTGCAAAGCCTTATAAATATGCAGGAAACATGCAGGGTTTTTGCTGGGTAGCATTAAACTGATGAAGTCTATTACTCTTAAAGAACGCAATTATTTTGGAAAAGGCTGCCACACTTGTTTGACAGAGCCCTTCTTTATGAGGCAGCCTACCTGCATATTACAGAGTCCCCAATCCCTGTTAATGAGAGAGGGGAGTGTGTTGTTGCAAAGGAAGTGCCTATGGAGGCTGGCAGTAAGAATGAAGAAGGTAAAGATGCTGCCTCCAAAGGTAACCTTTCTCAGGCTGGGAGTGTGGGTTGTGTTTCAGATGGAAGGGACCTGCCCAGTCTAAGATGTGGGAGTGCTCAAAGCAGTGCTAAGTGAATTTGAGGTCAATGCCATCGTTTGTTTTAGGGCAGCTTTTGAGCAGCCTGTGGAGAAAGTAAGACAGGCCTTGGCTGAATGCGATATGGGTTGCCCCTATGGTCACTATACCAAATCCATAGATTCTCTGCCTGTGGACCTTAAAGGACACCCCATTGTTTGTTACTCTGGAGACTACTGTACTAGTAACCTGAGAATACTCAGAGCAGCTTCCACTCATTTCCCTGTTTTGAGGAGGTTTTTGGCCCATGTGACTTCTGCTCTGAGTGCTCACAGGATTGTGCGTGATATTGACAACACTTTGAAGAATGGTAACCACCAGAGATTGCTACAAATCACACAGGTTGAGTTGTAATGTAGAGGAAAACTATCACAAGCTCACTCCTGTTCAATGCTCAGCTGTAAGGAGGCCTTATCTAGAGATGGAACTAGCCATTGCGCATGCAGCACCGATTGCTGGGTTTGAGAAGGAAATTGATGACTTCCCAAAACATACATCCAGAGCTCCGCATCTTTTTTCTCTTGACATCACATGGTTTTTTCTACATGTGTATGCACTGGTAGGATATGGGTGCTTGCTGGCTTCATTGCCGCGGCCCAACCCACTATGCCAGTATTTTTAATTCGGGTTTTGGCTCGGTGCTGACCTTGACCAGCAGGAGTGGGGAGGAGCCTAGGCTTCAAACCACGAATGTCTGGGCATGGTCAGCAGCACATACCTGTGACAAAGCCTTGTGGGGATGAATCTCATTAGTTCTGAACCACAAGTGCTGCGCTCATGTCAGCCTTTATAAGCTCGTGATGCCAGAGAGAGAAGTTGTGGTATGCTCTGCTGATGAGGGCCAACAAGCCTGAAACAGCTGTCCAGAGCTCCGCATCTTTTTTCTCTTGGCATCACATGGTTTTTTCTACATGCATTTGCTGTGAGCGTCTGTATCAGAGAAAGTCAGTGTCTGTTGTTAGTCTATCTGATGACTTTAACTCTGAGATATGGCGTCAATTAAAGGCACATATTTTGAAGTATCCTCCAACTGAAGGGTCAAGTGTTGTACATGTGCCGTTACTGCAAGTGCAGGGTGAGAGCTGGGATAATGCCTGCACCTTGTGTCCTCAATGGTCTGCAGACTGTTTCCATTCCCCCAGAAGCCAGCTTATCCAGTGGGCCAAGTGCTATCAGACTATTGTGAGACTAGGTACTTACACTGGTAAAGTTCCATATACAATTCACTTGCAGGCCTGCAAAGGCACAACGTTTTTCCTTCCTTTGCCACTAAACAAGACCATAGAAACCTTAAACAAGGTTCAACAGCATGCCTCTGTCCTACCAGACCCAGAGTTATACATTATTGTCAATGGTAGGCCAACCAAGAGTAATGTTGTGTGGCCAAGTTTGGTGAATGTGAGCCATGTCAAGACTGCAATAAGAAAGTTGAGGTCTTGTAACTGGCTGTACAGAGATGTTCATGAGAAATGCATTGATGAGAGCACTAAGCACATCATTGCAATGCAACCACGAAAATGTTGAAAAAGGTTTCCCCAGATGAGGTAGATGCATTTCAGGCCTACACCATTAGAAACCTGAATAGCAAGCTCTCCTTTGGCTCAGAAATAGAGCAGTACAGACTTATGAGCATCACAGAGGACCCTAACCAACAAGCAGCAGCATTTAGATGTGATGTGTTTCCCTTGGCACTCTTCCCTACTGGGAAGTTTGGAGAGTTCCATCCTCGTAAAGAGAAGATTTCTCCTAGTGAGTATGTCAAATCTAGGCTGCTTAACAAGGACTCGCGTTTCCGCAAAGGTGCACAATATGTGTTTTACCTTTTGTGGCAGAAGGAAATGCGACAGCTCTCATCAGGTGTTAGGAGTCCATGCCTGTTAGCATGTTACTATATAGAGCAGGTGAACACCTCAGACGAGCAGCTAGAAGCACGTTTGTGCACAATGCTCCAGTCAGTCCGTGGTACCAAACAGTTCTGGTTCCTCAGACATAGTGAGCTGAAGTGCATGATACGTGAGTGGGGCTCACCTACACTTTTTCTCACCTTTAGCTGTGCTCACTGAGTTTCTTAGGAAAGTGAACAATGTTCCTCCCAGTTACAACATTAGGAAACTGTGTGTTGAGGACCCAGTCTCGGTTTGCAGGAAATTTTCCCTCAAATTTCATGCCTTTTTCCAAAAGGTCATTTTTAAAGGTCAGGTCCTGCGTATTGTAGACCACTTTTATTGGAAAAAGTAGTATCAGAACCGTGGGGCTCCTCATTACTATGTCCTACTCTGGATTAGAGATGCACCACTCATTGATAGAGACGATCCCGAGAAGGTGCTAGACTGGATCCAGGATAGAATCACCTGCCACATCCCCGATGAACGGGGTAGCCCTGAACTGCACAGACTTGTCACCAGATACCAGATGCACAGGTGCAGCAAGTACTGTAGGAGGCGGAAGAAGTGTGGCAAGACAGCATTCATCACCAGGTGTAGGTTCGGGTCAGGCCAGTGTGTGAGACTGCTCAGCTCAACCCAGTCCAGGAGAACCTGAAATCCCGTAACTGAATTTACCAGTTAGTCCGTACTCTAGCAGAAACAAGGGTGACTGACTACAACCCACTGTTATTGATGCTGTGGAAGGCTAATATAGACATTCAGTTTGTAGCCGAGGCCTCTCTAGCTCTTGCTCATTAACCCTCGGCGCGCAGGGTTACGGTAGTTGGTTTGTCTGGTGTGTGTCTGTGTGTCGATGCTTATTCTGGCACTACAGGCTACGGGGCGGCCCATTAGCGATACCAGTGGTTTCAGAACTATGCGAGCCTGAAAAATAAATAACGGGCTGAAACTACCTCGTTCGCGAGCGACAAACTGGCAAGGTCACGGACCGCGTTGCATGGCCCAACCCATCAATAAGCGGTGCGCATGCGTATATTAGACGCAATCAATAGCTCAGCTCGACCTGATCCGCATGCCTTGGAGGCACAAGAAGCCACAGCGAAGGGCATGTATCGACTCCCACATGCTATCTACTATCGTAGCTAGCCCGTGTCAGACCCTCCGCGAGCTACTAGCGGGAGACCGCGGGTGTGAACACCAATAGCCCAGCCAATCTATTAGCGGTACCGCACATGCGCAGTTCGCCAAGGGTTTGCACTTTAGTGCTTTTCATTATATCAGTGGCTATGTTACCAAGGCTGAGCGTAGCAACATGCAGGAGATCTGGCAGGAAGTTAGTGAGAACAAGAGCATTTACAGTCACCTTTTCAGCTTTGGTGTTAGAAGTTTACGGTTCAGAGAGTGTGGTCTGTATGAGGCCAGTGATCTGCTGCTGGGAGACCACCTTCACTGAGAAGTCTGACAGTCAAGTGGGTAGACGTCTCCATGCCTCACAAGAGATCCCGTAGACTGAAGAACCATAAAGTCTTACAAGAAATGGCTAGGCTGAACCCAGATAGTCAGAACATATTTGAGGATAGATACATTCTATCCTGAGAGACCAGCCACCCTTGAAAATGTTTGTTTGTATGACTTTGTGGCCAACTATGAGTTTCAAGGTATAGACACAAATGGTCAGAGAGTGTACAAGAAACTTAGCAAGCCTAAACTCCCTAACCACAAAATATTTGACCCTGAAAATGAGAACCAGAAACAAGATTATTTCTACTCTATAGTGTTACTCTTTTCTCCATTTAGAGATGAGAGTAGTATACTGTAGGGTAATGAGACAGCTGAGCAGGCATTTCATAGACTACTGACTAGCCATAGCTCAAGCTACCACTCTAAGCTGAAGACAATGTTAGCAGCAGCATCAAATGTAAGAAGAATTAATGAAGCGTGCCAGGGTGAACATGGAAGAAAGAGAATCAGAAGAAGACAATGAGCCTCAGCTGCTAGGTGAAGCTAGAACAGTCATGACAGAAGTTTTAGACATGAAAGCCAATACCCCTGGTCAGCTGACCCTAGATGAGAGAGTGTCCATGCTGAATCAGGATCAGAAGAGAGTCTTCAAGAACGTCAAGGCTCACTTCCTGCACCAAGTGTCACGAGGAAAAACAGTGTTTGTGTGATTTTAGAGGGGTGTCCGTTAAGCGGGGTTCCACTGTATACCCTTTCACATAATTATTGCTGCAGAATGATTTTGGACTCACATTTCTTACTTGCTCATGCGCCAGCTACCTGCAGGACGTCAAAATCGCGAATTACGTTACCTTGGTGCGTATGCGTGCAGCAGCCTCTCCCCCTCACTCTGCAGCGCGAAAAGGGTCGGGCTCAGCTTAAATGGAACAAGTGGAAAAATTATTTCTTCAGAATGAAGGGGGATGTAGGATGGTGTAAATTATGAAAAAGAATACCAACAAGAAGATGCTTCAGCAGAAAACAAAAATCATACATCCATCCCTACATCTTTCTTTACTCGATCACACAGCCTCAACTGTGTAATGTGTTCTGAATTAGCTATAGCTTGCATACTTAAATATATACCCACTCATTTTTATACAGAGAACAAAGAAAGAAAGATGTAGGGATGGATGTATGATTTTTGTTTTCAGCTGAAGCATCTTCTTGTTGGTATCCTTTTTCATAATTTACGCCATCCCTACATCTCCCTTCATTTTGAAGAAAAGATTTTTCCACTTGTTCTTACCTTAGGCGGATTTCACTAGCTGGTTAAGGTCTAAAACTTCTGAAGCATAGGTAGGCAACCTATGAGCCAAGTAAAGATCTGGCGCTTCCTGACCATTACTGCACAAGTGGTGTGTTTAGAGCTCCGTGTATGTTTAGCACCGAAGTTCAAGGTAACCTAACTGAGATTTGTAACTGCGTTAACATACCATCATCATCTATGACAGTGAGAGTACCATTCCTGAGTAAAACATTATCCCTCTCATATGTGTTCTTCAAAATAATGCTCAGTTGTTCCTCTTCTTCAACCCGATCATCATCAATTATTGACAGCACAAGGCATTGATATAATTCATCACACTCTCCAAATACGAGACTTTCAGTATAATCTAAAGTAATAAAACTGATAGCATTCACAGTTTGTACATTATGAGCCCAGACCTTCACTGATTAGAAGTGTAAGATTAAGAGGAAAACCTACTGGACAGTCCTCATCAAGCCCATCTTCTGCAACAATGCAAACTTCAACCACACCCACCGACTCATTGACGTCAATATTGACATGGTCAGGACCAATGGTGACAACTGAGAGGAAGAAAAGAATAGAGCTTACTACTCAAGCAAGCCTGTCTTACCATCATTATCCATGATTGTTATGTCATATCTGGTCCGATCAAATCTGATGTTTGGATCTAGGCCTGGACTATTTGTAATATACACCTGAAACACCTCGTCCGTTTCCACTATATTGTCATCATGATAGACCATGTCCACACACACTGTATGATCACATTGTTTGATTGCTCTAAGCGCGGAGATTGCCCTGAAATCTCCAGGAGGTACTGAAATAATAAAAAGCTGTCAGTATCTCTTACAGAAATACTGTAGACATAACATACCTGCACTGTAACTTTCAGAAAGGAAGACAATACCAGCAGGAAATTGAATGGGACAGACGGGATCAAGAGGATCCACTACACTAGCACACACTCTAGCTGGATCACTGCTTCCCTCTCGTACAGTGAAATTGGTCAAGTCGCGATCTAATTCAACCCGAGTATCTGAATAGTACAAAAATAATAATGAAAGTTAAGTGGAGAGGAGAAGGCTTGTTAACACTTACAATCATCATCAATGATATAAACCCGCGCTGATATTACTTCTCCTAACCGGACATTGTTGTCTGGCGATTCAAGCGTGACTCGAAAACTCTCCCGAAAATACCCATACTGCAATTCAACCATGTTATCATCAATGAGTTTGATGTCAACACATGCCTCATTTGAATTAAACCTCATCTCTAAGGTTTCATTGCTGAAATCATCATAATCTGAAGTGATATAGGGTAGTTGGACGATTCAAAACAACAACACAATAATAATGCAAGTGCCTGGCTTACCTGCAGATTGAGGGTTTTCCCAAAGAGTAGGAACCACATTAATCAATACGCTGATATTATAGCGGGTGTCATAGTTGGAGAGAGAAGCACAGACTTTAACTTTCTCATCTGCTTCACTGCCAGTAAATGATTCTGCCATAAGATTGACTGTAGCTAAAGGGAGGAATATGCGTCGAGGGGAATTCATCATTTTGTAGCAAGAACAAAATGTTATAACCACAAGCTAGATGTGTGGAACAATCTTTAATAATGCGATAAAAACAACTAGCTACATACGCTTTGGTATGATGAAGACTCTTCCTTGTGCGTCCACCAGCTCTGCAAACGGTACCACATCATTCTCGATAGTCAGTATAAACTCAAAATATTCAACATCTTCATGAAGAGGGGATGAGTCCAAAATATCAATTTGGAAGCAGTTTCTCTCTTTACATACTTGAAACACGTTTAAACTGTTAAATGGCCTGTAGTCTTCAAACGCACCTGTTTCAATATTTAGATATTGACTGCTACATTGAGCTCAGTAATAAATCCCTTACTTGCATTTCCACCATATGTGTGAACACGGTAGTAGTATATAGCATTTATTGGACAATCCTCATCCCCACCAATTACCAGACAGATGTTGACAGCACTGGTAGACTCAAAAACATAGTGTTCCCTGTTTTCCAGCCTAATCTGAAGTACTAAAGTCCAAAAAAAGAGAACAACTTGTAAGTGCTTAAATTTATTATGTACAACTTACAGTCGTCGTCTCTTATTTCAAACTTCACAACATCTGTAAAGACTCGGATCATCCGAGACTGAGGTATATCGGTTTCAGCATTAGGTAGAAGAGACACATTAAACAATTGCAAATTAAATTCTTCATCATTCTGAACGTTGAAGACAGCCTTGAGATTGACACACGTCATGTTGTCACACTTATCAACAGTAACATCGCGAAAGATTGTCTCGTCATCTCCATTTTCGGTGTCTTCATTATATATCGCGAAAAAAGACAACGATATTTTCACAATTGTAAGTAGGTTGTAGCTACTCACATGAGTACTTGGTGAAGCTAAGAGTATAGTTTACTTGAAACTCCACAGGACAGTTTTGGTCTGTTCCTTCACTTGTTACGATCACACAAATATTGAATGGACTTTCATCACTTTCATAGAATACAAGATTAGACAACAATAGAGAAACACTGACCGCTGTAAAAGAAGAGAGCAAAACACCAAAGCATGAGCGACACATAAGTAAGACATCTATCTTACTGTCATCACTCTCAATAGCCACTTGAGCCGATTTCTTAGTGGAGTTGTCTGAATCAAAGAACACTCGGTCTTCAGATACCTCCACCATCAGGCTGAACCTCTGGATGTGGTTTTCCACAGTGTTATCATCAATAATGATGCCGTTCAGACTAATATTGGTCATGCCAACTGCTCCAGGAGGGATTTCAATATCCACAGTCTCTACATGGAAATCTTGTCTTGGTGTAGCCTTGTGAGCCTCATTAACAACGGGTGAAGTCAGACTCATAGCTGTAAGCCTCAGAGGGATAGTGCCCTGTACTGTTAAACCGTTCTTGATTACTAGAGTGAGTATTTGATTACCCGCTTCATCTTCGGACACAGTGTAAACTGACTGAGCGAGATCTATTTCCACTCCTGCAGAGAATTCATAAGGCTAGAGAAATGCACACATTTGAGAGAGCAAGCACACAGCCTATTCCTCTTTCACTAATCATGGCCTACAGTTAATCTTTATATTTGAAAGGTAAAAACAAAGACAATACCTAGGGCAATTTTTTTCTACCACCTACCTACACTACACAACCCCTCCGCCATCTATAGCTCCCTGGGTGAATATAGAAAAGGGCGTAAACATGCTCTACAGTAAACTCCTATAACTTTATAGTTCAACACACAATGTTTGGCAAGTATGCGCCGTAGCAAATAGGTTTCTTGTTCAGCTTTTATCCATGATCTACGTTACAATACATTTGTATGTGAAGTACAAAATCAACATTCAATATTGGTTTTAAAAGGGTTGGTGAAGTAGTAGATTCTGAATCCAGTACCCTTGCATTACAATCAGAAAGCTATCCCAACTAACCATGCTATTACTGCCGCTAGTTGCCGCTAGTTCTATAAGTAACGTTCTTGGCTGCATCATAATGCTGCCAAGCAGTTTTTTTTCAGTGTCTCTCCTCTGTCAGGTTTGATCTCTGTTCTCTTTGTTCCCAATGGATAATAAGTTGAGCAAGGTATGTCCGCAATGTAGCACAGCAGTTCATGTGAGATGAGCAGTTTGTGGATGCGGCCATGCCTTCTCATCTAAATGTTAAGCACAGCCTGGCAATATGTCGCAAGCAATGAAACACAGAAGAGCGGATAGATTGAAAAAAACGTATGTGAGAGCCTTTGAAACATTTGCTCTAACTGCTACCCACTGATGCAACTAGCCTGTGTTCCAGCGATAAATTGGCTCCATTGACGACGCATGGCCCAGCCCACTTACATCAATGCTACAGCGCTTCACACGTGCATTTTGTGCCGAGGGTTTGCACTTTAGTGCCTTTGATTATTATAGGCTTGTTTGCTGCCGTTCTTTAAGCTAGGAATTCTTGCACAGTTTGATTAACCCTCGGCGCGCATGCGCAACGAGGGTTACGGTAGTTGGGTCTGTCTGTCTGTCTGTCTGTCTGTCTGTCTGTCTGTGTGTCTGTCTGTTACGCGTCATCTCACTTCTCGAGTGTTCGTTCGTCTCACAAAGGATACCACCTACTGAACGGGCAATGAAGGTCAGAAATATCGAACGGTTTTCCCTGAAACTGCTCCGTTGCAAAGCTAGAGCGCGAAAAAGTCAATATGCAAATATACAACGGACGGGAGGGCTTACCACGATCGGATGGATCCGCGTGCTCTGCGTACTTCGGAGGCACCAGAAGATGCAACGCAGGGCGTGTATCGCCTCTCGCATGCTATCTAGTAGTGTAGTTAGCCCGCGTCAGACTCTGCGCGAGCTGGCAAGAGACCGCGAGTAACAGCTAAAACTAAACCCAGCCCATACATTAGTGGTACGGCGCATGCGTTTACTTACGCATGCGCATCACAGTGAGCGCCGAGGGTTTTGCACTTCAGTGCTTTTCATTGAGTTTGTATTGATCACTTTAGATTTAGGCTAGGTACACGACTTACTGTTGTTTTTATCCACAATGGCTACTTCCGTAGTGTGGCTGATAAACTCCCCTCTTTGCTCCACCAGATTGACATAATTATTGATACCGGAGGTGTGTCTTAGAATGACTTTGTCGCCATCTTCCAATGCAATCATATCATTGTATGCTGTCAAACTGAGAGTTATCCTTTGGTCTCTTCGATATAAAGTGACTGAGACTGGCTGGTAATCTGAAAGAGGGAGGAATCTGGTTACTTATCAAGTTACTCATTGGTTGGAACTTACCATCCTCATCCCCCTCTGATATGATCCTGCCTTCGATTGTGATTAGTGGGAAGTTAGTTATGCCCTTGGCATTTCTTCCAAAAGCAATGTCCAATGTCTCCCCCTCTACAACACTGTATATTGTCTTCACAAATCCATGGACTATTACAATGTATAAAGTAAACAGATACTAATGCAGCCAGTAACACACCTATGCAGGGGAAAGATCTATCTCCGTATCTGTAGGAACGGCTCCCTTCCATCTCCACGCAGCATTCTCTGGCACTGAAGTATCCAATAAGTGAACCAGCTTCATTATAGCAGGAGGGGAGTACTAATGTGATAATAACATACATAGTATTTTCATATGGTTGTTATCAAACCTCGGTACACATGCACATAAGTCTGTCTGTCTGTCTGTCTTTCTGTTTGTCTGTCTGTCTGCTTAATGTCACACCTCACGCTATAAAACACAATGAAGCAGGGGACACTAATTAACCTTCGGCGCGCATGCGCAGCGAGGGTTACAGTACTTGGGTCTGTCTGTCTGTGTGTCTGTCTGTTTGTCTGTTACTCTTCATCTCACTTCTCGAGTGTTCTTTCGTCTCACAAAGGATACCATCTACCCAACGGGCGACGAAGGTCAGAAAATATGTGGGGTTTTCTCTGAAAATGCTCCGTTGCAAAGCTAGAGCGCAAAAAAGCCAATATGCAAATACACAACGGCTTACTACGGCTTGATCGATCCGCGTGCTCTGCGTACCTCGGAGGCACCAGAAGATGCAACGCAGGGCGTATATCGCCTCTCGCATGCTATCTAGTAGTGTAGTTAGCCTGCGTCAGACTCTGCGCGAGCTGGCAAGAGACCACGTTCAGCTAAAACTAAACCCAGCCCATCAATTAGTGGTACGGCGCATGCGTTTACTTACGCGTGCGCATCACAGTGCGCCGAGGGTTTGCACTTCAGTGCTTTTCATTTGTGGAGTAAACAAGTTAAAGGGTGTTTTTACAGCAGCCTGGTTAGCCATTTGTTTCCTTTCACGACCTGTGCACATTGGCTTGCACAGGCATCAGTAGAGAAAAATGAATAGGCTGTTGTGCGCTCCACTGCATCGTCCCAGCACTCTATAATAAATGAGTGCAATATACAGATGCTGCAAGTTCAAGTCTTGCTGCAAATATTTTTCACGCCAACATTATGTCTATAGCAATTGGAGCTTCGTGAATACGGATGTTTCTCAAAGCAAAATCTCCACGTTGTTAATCATTATGCAGCTGTTCAGCTGCCATTTAATAAAGTTAAGTGAGTTGAATTTTTATTACCACATGAATCCTATGTATAAAATGAACTAATACTGCTCCTGTACAAGCTATTTGCTTTATGCTAAGCATATCACTGAAGGAACATGGCTCTGTGCCAAGGGTTTGCTGTTTGGTGTTTGTCAAAATTAATGAAGAGCGTGGCATTTCTATGTTAAGCTAAATGCCACGCAAAGTGCGTGATAGGCCTATGAGAAAAAGAAGAAAAAAAAACCTCTGGAGAGCACATACCCTACGCAGTATCACATGTGCAGGACCAAATGCCCTAACGCTTGTAGCAGGATATAAAGCCGTTGTGGCAAGTGTCGTGATTCCAAGCACAGTGTTTTGGCGTTTATGACAGATCAGCCAGTTTTAAAACTCACCCAGGAACCTATATTTCGAGATCTGGCAATTATAGTGCGACACAACAGACATACAGACCAATCACACAACCCTTGCACACATGGCGTAAGAACATAGCATTTGACATTTCCCTTATTGCTATTTTCATCCTACTTAGCCAGTTAAAACAGAGGCTTTGATATGGATCACGGAACACGCCGTTTGTATAGTTTACAAGTGGAAAAATCATTTCTTCAAAATGAAGGGGGATGTAGGGATGGTGTAAATTATGAAAAAGGATAGGAGTTAAGGACTCCCACAGGTCATTACAACAGCCCTATATCGTCGTATCTGTGCTTGACCACGGAGCAAAATCTTCCTCGCATAAGTATCAGCAACCCTGCATACTTGAATTTGGTTTTCTCGTATTATACGTATGCTTTCCATGTAATGATGTTATGCGTGTACATTGTTTTGGTCAGCTGATTATTACGACAGTACACATAACTGCTCGCACCATGATGTGCATACACTCCATGGGAATGTAACATGACAGATCGATGAAATGTACACAACAATCATTATTAAATTATTAAAACCCTTTGGGCGCCATTTACATAATATATAGCCTCCATAAGTGCATAAGAATTTATATATGGCTATAATACTAGGTGCTAATATGTTATACATCAATTTCTGCTTATTTAAGGAGACACCTATTGCGTCCAAAGGGTTAAGTAGTACAGTACTTAGCAATACTCTTTCATAACCTTCACTCCCACCATACGACGATATAGGGCTGTTGTAATGACCTGTGGGAGTCCTTAACTCCTCGCTAGCATCTCTGTGCTTCCACAAACACAATCCCTATCTTGTCTTGGTTCACACACAGGTGGAGGGCCGCCATTATGTGCGACACGCCTAATTCTGCTCAAAATAAGTGCCGCTCGCAGAGAGTCTGACACAGACTAGCTACAGCAGTAGATAGCGTGTGGGTGTCGATACACGCCCCTTCGCTGTGACTTCTTATGCCTTAAGATACACAGAGCAAGCAGACCCCTTGAGGTAAGCCTGTTCTAATTAGAATATTCAGGATGCAATCTAACATTTTCCCCAACTGGCCAATAAAATACACAACGGACGGGATCGCACCACAGTCGGATCGATCCGCGTGCTCTGCGTACTTCGGAAGCACCAGAAGATGCAACGCAGGGCATGTATCGCCTCTAGCATACTATCTATAGTGCAGTTAAACTCTGCGCGAGCTGGCAAGAGACCACGGGTAACAGCTAAAACTAAATCCAGCCCATCAATTAGTGGTACGGCGCATGCGTTTACTTACGCGTGCGCATCACAGTGGGCCAAGGGTTTTGCACTTCAGTGCTTTTCATTTAATTCATGATAAATTAAATCTTGGTGTAGAAGCGTTTCCGCGCACGCGTGTGTTTCGACTGTACTAGCATGGAGACCACGAGTAAACGTGTACCAATAGCCAAGCCCATCATTTAGCGGTACCGCGCAAGAGCAGATCGTCGAGGGTTTGCACTTTAGTGCTTTTAAATGGTAAAAAGATGGAGATAGGATACATTAAAAAAAACACGCTGACACCTGGACCCCATCACACAATCCCTATATTGTTGAATATGAACATTCACCATCACAACAGTCAGGACGTGTTTAAGAGTGGCACACAAGGCAAAAATATAGGGATTGTGTGATGGGGTTCAGGGTGTCAGTGTGCTCAAATGTGTTGGCCAACCATGCTTCATGTTTATAGCATACTAGCAGAATAGAAAAGTAAGAAAAACAAAGTCACCTTACACACCCAAAACCCTCAACCCTCCACCCAAGTATATACACACACGAGACAAGTATCCCTGTCTCCCATTATTTTTATACTATCCTTATGCCTCTTTTGTCATAATCATTTGCCTGTTAAGCTAGGTACATGCACTTTTTGACAATACAGATCAGACTGATATGTCAGACAAGTTGGATCTCATTTAAATTGAAAGTGAAATGTACAAACCTCAACTGTAACGGCATAATGCAGGTTAACCTGTGTCATCCCTATATACTAAGTACTAAGTACTACTAAGTACTACTGTAGTGATAACAAAACAGTTCTGTGAAAAAACTTCGAATTAGAACAAAACCAGCTTTGCTTTAGCAATTCACGCGAGATAAAGCGAGTTTATATGCTCTGATTTTAATGGAGAGTTGTCTGTGACTAGAAGTAGTTGAATATTAGTTACATAAGGGTGGTATGTGCATTATACGCCTCAGTGCTCGTGGCGCGTTAGCTGGTGCTTGGCATACATGAGCGTAGCATTCCCATGGCATTTTCATTGTACAGAAAGTATTGAAGAACTAGCCGTTTTTAACATAGTTCAAAATGGCATTAACTGCTGTAGCCATTGGTAATTAAATGCTAAGACACCCGTTACCAAGGATAATAATATTATTCATGCGTAACCACAGGGTGTATCAGCAGTTAACATTCAACAAGGTGGGGAATGCAGAACTAACAGCCCTGTCTGCACCATTGATCTAAGTGCCTACTGGGCTACAAGCTAAAATATGACTCTTATCACTAAGTACAGTAGTACTTAGTATATAGGGATTAACATGGTACCTAGCATCATAGATGTATGGGGCTATGATAGGGAGTTTTGTTCATCTTCTCTTCTTCTTCTTTCGACCAGCGTAACTCAAAAACCGAAAGAGATTAAGCCATGAAATGTTGTAGGAATGTGCGTATCCATAACCACATATGCAACGTTTTTGTTTGTAAACAATGTTGTTTACTGTAAACAACTGAAAATGTGCCCCAGGCAATACATTATAATGCACATACATGTGTTAGTGTAATTCACATTAATTGTAAGAGCTATGTGAACGAAACTTTGTATCACTAAGTACTTAGTATACAAGTAAATAAAATCCAGCGAATTTAAAAAAGAGGCATAAAGGGATGGTATAAAAAGAAAGGGAGACAAGATAGGGATTGGATACATGAAGCATGGTTAAGAACAGATTTGAGTACGCTGACACCCCCAACCCCATCACACACATCCCTATATTGTTGCCTGGTGTGCTTCTCTTAAAGGTTACTAAAAGCAAGCATTCTTTCACCGTGTCCCTTGTTGTTTTTAGTAACATTTATACTGCCACATTCCCTTTAATTAAACTGCTATAAGGGTGTTGATTACTCAGTAGTAGTGCATTGTAAGTTCTGAGTATTGTAATGGTGAATGTTTAATACTTCACCAAGGCAACAATATAGGGATGTGTGTGATGGGGTTGGGGGGTTGTCAGCATCTGTTCATTAACCATGCTTCATGTATCCAATCCCTATCTTGTCTCCCTTCCTTTTTTTACCAGCCTTTTTTAAATTCGCAGGATTTTTAATTTACTTGTCTCCACTCATTTTTATATACTACTACGTATTATCTCTGCAAAACGGTGCAAGCCCCTATAAATATAAATAATAAATTGTTGTGGTCGTCATGGAAATGATGTAATACACATGCACACCAAGTTTCACCTCCATGCGTGCTACAGTTAGCAAGTTTGAGGAGTGAAGAAGTAATTTTAAACAAAAGTACCTGAGGCTATTTGTTGTTGTGGTCGTCATGGGAAACGATGTTACACACATGCGTACCAAGTTCCATCTCCCATGCGTGGTACCGTTAGCAAGTTTGAGCGAAGACGAAGTAATAGAAAGAAAGTGCCT